GGACCCGGGCACCGGCAGGACCCGGGCACCGGCAGAGCCGCTCCGGCAGCGGCGGCGGGCGGAAGGGGCGCGCTGGGAGCCCGGGCCCGGCCCCGCGCTCCCCGCCCCGCGCCCCCGCGGAGCCCCGGCGGGCGCGGCGCTGGGAGGAGGGCTGAGCGTTCACCCCCGTGCCGGTCGGACACGGGCAGCAAAGTGCCACAGCAGCTGCGGGCCGCGCTGGGCTGGGCTGGGACAGACGGAGAGCTCAGTGCCGCCGAGCCTGTCCGATGGGATGCTCAGCACTGCGGGGAGAGCTGTGGCTGCCGTGTCACCTCGGCCCGCAGGGTGGCTGCAGTTGGGTACGTGTGGTCACACGGACAGACGGGCAAGAACAGCCTCTCCCAGCCAGCTCCGGCCGCGCCTCCAGCAGCTGCTCCGGGAGCAGCGAGGAGCAGGCAAGCACACGGGCTCCCATGCTCACTTAATCTCTCCATCACGAATTATTTTCAGCGCTGGAGATTTTCTTAGACAGACGTGGCTTATTGTTTAGGGACCCCAGGACTTCTCTTGTCCTGTCATCCTTTGATGTCACCTAAAATAACAGCCGCCACACATCCTTTGGCCAAGGGGCTCACCCACTCGCTGCTATTTGGGTGAATTGTTCTTCTGTGAACCTGGCTGCTGCGATTTCCCCCAAGAACGCCAGACCTGGCCCTCTCCCGCCTGGCTTCGCTCTCGCCCCGCGTCCCATCCCGCCTCGTCCCGGTGGGGCCGGAGCAGGAGCGCGGGTCCGCCACTCCGCCAGGGGGAGCTACAGGCCCAATGCTCGGCGCGCTTGGCCACGCCCCGTGGGCGGGGTCATACAGCATGGCCACGCCCTCCGCGGGCGTGACAGCCGGGACGCGCCGGCTGCAGCGGCCGCGCCCTCGCCACACCCCGTGGTCACGAGACGCCGGTGCGGACGCTGATTGGCCGGCGGCTCGGGGCGGGACGAGCGCTGATTGGCCGGCGGCGCGGCCCGGAGCGCGGCCCGGCGCGGCGCGTCAGTTCCGCGCTGGGCCCGCGATGCTGTCGGCGGGCGGCGGCTCCGGCCCCGGCGGGGCGGGCGGCTCCGGGCCGGGGCTCGGCGGCGACGGCGATTTCCTGTCGCGGTACCGGCTGGTGTCGGCCAAGCTGCGGCGGCGGTTCCTGCGGAAACCGAACGTGGCGGAGGCGGCGGAGCAGTTCGCGGCGCTGGCGCGGGAGCTGCGCGCCCAGGAGAGCCTGCCCTACGCCGCCTGGTGCCAGCTGGCCGTGGCGCGCTGCGCGCAGAGCCTCTTCCACGGCCCCGCCGAGGCGGCCGCGCTGGCCGAGGCCGCGCGGCTCTTCCTGCGCCAGGAGCGGGACCTGCGGCAGCGCCTGGGGCTGCGCGGTGGCTTCGGCGAGCACGTGGCGGCGGCGCAGAGCTGCGGGGCCTTCGCCGCCCGCCTGCACCTGGAGAGGGGGCAGCCCGCGCTGGCGGCCGGGCCGTGCCTGGAGCTGGCGGCGGCGCTCCGCGACACGGGCCAGCCCGCCCGCGCCGCCGCGCCCCTGCAGCGGGCGGCGGAGCTGCTGGCGGCGGCGCGGCTGCCGCTGCAGGCCCTGCGCTGCCTGGCCGAGCGCGCGTCCTGCCTGCTGCTGGCCCGCGACTACGCCGGGGCGCTGGCCGCGCTGACGCGGGCGCAGGCGCTGGCCGGGGCCGGGCTGGGCGGCGCGGCCGGGGCCGGGGCCGCGCCCGGCGGCGCCTTCCTGGACGTGCTGGCGCGCTGCGAGGTGTCGCGGGTGCTGCTGCTGCTCCTGCTGCAGCCGCCGCCCGCCAAGCTGCTGCCCGAGCACGCCCGCACGCTGGAGCAGTACTGCTGGGAGGCTCCCGACGGCGGACCGGGCACCGCGAGCGGCACCGGGACGGGCGCGGGGCTGCCGCCGGCCGCCAGCTACCTGCCGGCCGAGCTGTTCCTGCTGCTGCAGTCGGCAGTGCTGGCGTGCCAGGAGAAGGACGCGGAGGCGCTGAAGGCGCTGCAGGCCGAGCTGTGGCCGCTGCTGAGCGCCGAGCAGAACCATCTGCTGCACCTGGTGCTGCAGGAGATGCTGAGCCCCGCCGGACAGGGCCTCTGAGCGCCGCCGCCCGCAGGGACAGGTCGGACTGGTCGCTTCCGCTGGTGCCAGCACAGACTCTATTCCCTTATTTATTTTTAATACGAATTCTGTAACGCAATGAAGTAAGGGTTGGTGAGAGAAGGCGTTCATCTGCGTGTTTGCCTCGTGTCAGAGTTGCTCACTGTATGTACTGAAAGTTGTCATGCTTGGAAGACGTGTAACCCTAAAGCAGAAAGGCCATTTCAGGGCAGAAGGAAGCTGTTCATTAAAAGACTGGCTGCAATTTGCATATGTTGGAGGATTTGGGTGTCTATGAATCAAAAGTTGTTACAGTTGCTTTTTCTAAAACAAACAAACAAAAAAGTAAGATACTCATTTCCCCCCCCCCCTCCTGAAAACTGTCGCTGCAGCCAATACGAGGCCTGAGTTTTGTGGTGGGTGAAAGGAGTTGGTCACTGACCTGCGAGTGGTTCCTGGGGTATTGGTGGCTTGACTCCAGTCTCTGTAGCAGCTGTTAACCCAGAAAACAGTGGCAAATCCACTTCATCTGAGGGAATTTAGATAGGGAATTAACGGTGGAGGTGGTGGTTACAGGAGTTACTGGAATGTGGACTATTTGTTTAATTCTTTTCAGCTGTTACCCATCTGCTCTCCGGCATTTCTGTCTCTTGCTTTCTGCTTCTTGGGACGTTTAGGTGAAGACAGCAACTCTTTAGAGGGGAAAAGACCCTGCTGTCTTTGGTGCACTCAGCTCTTGGGTACAGGCCTTGCTAAATTCCAGCAGTGCTACTATACAGCCTCAGGCAGGGCAGCCTTTATCCTGGAGGCTGGAGATGCCCCTGGGGCGTTGTGTTGGATAAAGAGCGATTCTAGGGTACCCAGCTACTGGTGAGTAAAAGAAATGCTCTCAGCCAGCTCTTCCAGAGACCCTGCAGGGGCCGAGGCTTTCATAAAGAAGGCAATCCCGCTTGTACACCTGGAAGAGAAGCCAGAGGTTAGAGGTACTTGTGTTGAACAGTGGTGTTACATCTGATCTTAATATTTGGGTCTGGAGATAGCAGTTTTTTCAAGCGATTTTCCAGTGTTTGTTTTTCAAGTTTTCTTTACCTTCCACACTTAAATAATTAAGCACTTGCCATTTTCCCCTCTGAAACGCAAACAGAGAAACTGCTAATTTTAAGAAGCCTTAATTACCCCAAGCCTCTTTTTGACAAGCTAAAACGGTAGCTGAGAAAGGCTCGGACCCGTTGGATGTTATTTTACGGCTAAGCTAGCCGTGGATGCGCCAGGCCGAGAGGCAAAACTAATAACCCATGCGGCGAAATTACTTATGTCGGTGTCCTTTTTAAATTCCAGCACCTGGAACTGTAGCGCTGAGGGTGGATGTCCGGGGGCGGCGCGAAGGCGGTTCCCGAGCGGCGGAAGGGGCGCGGGCGGCCGGGGCGGGGCCGGGGCGGGGGCGGGGCCGGTGCCGGGGCGGGGCCGGTGCCGGGGCGGGGCCGGGGCGGTGTCGGTGCCGGGGCGGGGCCGGGGCCGGGGCGGTGACGCACGGGCGGGCGGTGCCAGGGCGGTGACGCGGCCGCGCGGGGCCCGGCGGGACGGGGCGGGGCGGGGCGGTCGCTGCGCTCCGGCCGGCGGGGCAGCACGCGGCGCGGCCATGGCGGACGGGGACGGTGCGCAGCGGTGGGGACCGGCGGGGGCGCGGGGACCCCCGGCGGGCAGGGGCGCGGCCGGGGCTCGGGGCCGGGGCGGCGCCGCTCGGGGAAGGGTCTGCGGGCGGCTCTGCCCCGCCGGGCCTTCGCCGCTCTGCCCTGCCGCGCTCCGCCGCTCACTCCCGGCGTGTCGCTCCCGCAGGGTCCAGCGCGAAGAAGCGGCGGAAGAAGGAGAAGCGGGCGCTCGCCGATGCTGATGTAGCGGTGAGCGCGGGAGGGTTGATCGGGCCGGGCTCGGGGTGGCGGGGGGCTCCCCCGGCCCCTCCGTGGGGCTCCCCCGGCCCCGTCCGTGCGGACGCGTTCCGGGCGCCGCGGGCAGGGCTGGGACGGGCTCCCGCCGTCCGTCGCGGCCGCCCCGCGTGGCGGCACGGAGCGTCCCGGGCCACGTGGAGCGGCGGGAGCGCGGCCCGCCGGCTTCCCCCGCTCTGATCCCGCCGAACTTCGCCCCCCAGGACATTCAGCACACCGAAGACTTTCTCATCAAGCCCGAGTCCCGCGTGGCCCAGCTGGACACGTCGCAGTGGCCCTTGCTGCTGAAGGTAGGGCGGGTTCTGCTCGACCTCGTGGCCCGTCCGTGTTCCCGCTGCTTTTGTGCTCTGCCCCTGGAGGTGTAACCCCGCTGCAGGGAGCCGCGCACGTGGTGCTCTGCCTGCAGAAATCCTGTTACAAGGTCTCTTCAGCACTTTCATTTAAGTTTTGTGAGTTTTTCGTGCCTTGGAAAGATCCCGCCGTATTTCTTGAGTTTTTCGTTTGGGTCTGATCGTGGCCTGTGCTGGGTGTAGGCTTCCAGGTTGCTTCTGATGAGTTTCTGGGGAATTAATGTTAAGTTTATCCTGCATTGTCAATGCATATATTATGCCGCTTTCCCATCTCCTTCAATCCAGGATTTCTATTTATTTTTTCGGATTTTGTAAAATAATATCGTGGTTTCATTGTTGGGTCATTTTCATTT